GGCGGTGACGTAAGAGCGACCTAGCACTCAGCTTGTCAGTGGCGCTTCCCGCGTAAATTCAGGAATGTACCGCGTAACTAATAATTGGCGAGTATGGACAGGTGCCGCGTAAATGACCAACCGCGTATAAAAAACCCGCGTAAACCGAGACTATACTATACACATATATGGGTCGATAATTTTTTATCGTTGTATTTTTGTAGGAGGGGGAAGTGCCTCGATAAGTCGGAATTTGGGATAACTCCGCAAGGCCAAAGCCCCATTTATGCCGAGTTATCAAGGGTTTACTTTCTTACATACATATTTGAGTTTGTGTCACATTTTTGGATCATAAAAAATTTCCATAGGAATGCATCTCAACTTTTATAATGGAAGTACAGTACTGTATATGGGAAAATTTGTTTCGCGTTACGGATTTTCGCGTTACAGAAAGATTTTCAGGAACAGAACCTTTCAGTAACCCGGGGATGCCTGCACTTATAATTTACTCATTGAGACTTGATTTAAATTGACAGAAATAGCTGTTTAGTACAAATTTACCCGACCAGACATATAAGACGACCTTAATTATTTCAACTAAAATTGTTGATCTAGACCTATACCTGGCAGGTAAGTCGACCCCCTAAACTGTGATTTGAAAGCTATGTCCTCAGTGTCAGCTAAACTTGCCAACATTTACTTTTTAACAGTTCTCCCATGTTTTGTTTTGATAGTACACTGTTGGCAGTATGTGGCAACAAGTGAACGAAGTCTACATCCTCTGGTACTGTACTGGTAAATGATTAAAATATTATTTTATTTATAACTAGAAAAATATAATGTATACAGTACTATACATATAAATAATAATAATAATAATAATAATAATAATAATAATAATAATAATAATAATAATAATAATAATAATAATAATAATAATATTAATAATAATAGTAGTAATTACTTTTACTTTTATCCTCTTTGCCACTGATCTGCTAGTTAGCTGCTTGGGTGGTCGGTCACGTCTCTGTTACACACTGTTGGCAAGTACTGGGCATGGACTGGCTCCCAAATGTATCTGAACCTACTCCAGTGTTCATTAAGTCTGATCTTGAAACAGCTCACACTCGGTGCCGTCACAACACTCTCTGGCAGGTTGTTCCAAAAGTTCACAATTCTGAGTCTGAAAAAGTTTGCCCTCACAGTTTTCTGGACTTGTGATTTCTTCAACCCTGACCTGTGACCCCTTGCATGGACACTCGACTGAGTAGTGCCCTTTGAGATGTTTATATACCTCAATAAGGTCACCCCTCTACTGTCTGTAGTATAAGCTAGGCAGCTGCAGGCACTCTAATCTCTTTGGATAACTGAGGTGCCGAAGTGCAGGCACTAGTCTGGTGGTCCTCCTTTGGACATTTTCAATCAGATGACAGTCCCTAGCGGGGACCAGACTGGGTGACAGTACCCCGGGAAGGGGAGCACCTCAGTCTTGAAGATCGTTACGAGGGACAGACAGTCTAGATATCTGAACGACCTTTTCATAAGACCTACTAGTTTAGGTCCTTTTTGCATTCCATCTCTATTAATGCAGTATATTCGTCCTGTTGGGATTTATGATACGCCTCCTTACCATTAGTATGACCCAGGTGTATCCTCTTACACTTCGTGACATTGAATCTTAGCAGCCATTTTGTCGATGACTCTTGAAGCTCATAGAAATTTTTATGCATCTCTTCGCAGTCTGTTTGGTTATTAATTTCCCTGAATAACTTGATATCATCTGCAAACATATGTATGGAGGAGTGTGTAGCTTCTGAAATGTTATTTATGAAACAAACAACAATTGGCCAAATACTCTGCCCTGTGGTACCCCGCTTTCACGGGTACATATGACGATTTCATACCATTTATCAGCACACACTACTTGCGATCACGCAGAAAGTCTCCGATCCACTCTAAGACACTTCCCTGAATCACATACCCTTCCAGTTTAATTCTCAGCCTTTCATGGGATACACTGAAGAAAGCCTTGCAAAATCTAAGTATAAATTGTCAATATTGTCGCCCTGTTTCAGAATTTGGGTCCAAACATCTAGTACCTTGAGTAATTGTGTTAAGCAGGAGCGCCCCATCATAAAACAGTGTTGGCAGTCCTTTACATGGTTGTTTCATAGTAGATGTTCCATCATCGCATCTCTTATAAGGCTTCAAGTACTTTACATACTATGCTGGTCAAGCTCATTGATCTACAGTACAGTATAATTATTCGTGGAGTGACTCGCCATTCTTGAATATAGGACTCACATAAGCCATTTTCCAATCACTGGGGACCTTTTGCTTATCAAGGCATCTACAAAAAAGGATCTTCAGAGCTCAGTAAGCTCGTTGCACAACTCTCTTAACACTCTGGGATGCACCATGTCAAGGCCAGGACTCTTATGAACCTTTAGCTTTGACATATTATATCTTGTACCCTTTTCTGAGAACACAAAGTGGGTCAATACTGTGTCAAACCGTCTGGTCTCAAACGCAGGAAGATTGTTCGCATCCCCTCTTGTGAACACCAAGGAAAAGAATTTGCTAAATGCCTCCGCCTTGTCATGGGCAGAATCTGCATAACTACCGTCTTCAAGCCTCAGGTCTGATACGATTACTTGCATTTTTAATTGCGACTCTGTGTAGTGATAAAATGCCTTTGGGTTTGACTTGACCTTGCTTGCAATCCGCCTCTGGAACTCTTTTTCAGCCCTTCTACACTCTGACTTTGTTTAGTTCATGAATCTGGCATACATCCTCCTGTCCTGCTCATCATTTGTCCTAACCCACATCTCAAAACTGAGCTTTCTTCTTAACTTTGTCAACTGCTGTATGGTTCATGTGTAATGGTCTCCTTGTATTGCTAGAGGCACTGGGTTTGGTCTTAGCGATCAAATGATTCACTTTACTGGTTATGATATTCAGCGTAGTGTCTGTGTTCTTATATATATTAGTGAGTCAGGCCAGTGAATACCTCTCATCTCCTCCCCCATCCTGTCATAATTAGTATTGTAATATTTGAACCTTGGCCTGGTTTTGTCATGAACCAAGTAACAGTTAAATTTGACAGACAACGTTACGTGGTGACTGGTGCCGATGGGGGCTAAGTGTTCCAGCTTAGCCACCATTCCCTCCTCATTGGTTATGATGAGATCCAGTAGTTTGGGAGTTTTCTCCCCTCTGTAATGAGTCAGATCTTTAACATTTTGGAATAGAAAATTATCTCACGGAGTTTTTACAAAAAGGGTAGCAGGAATATTAAGGTTTCATTTCTCTAGTTGATGTCGACATAGTTGAAGTCCCTCATGACAAGGAGGTGGATTGGGTTGAGCACTGTTGCATTGTCAATTAAGGCTCTTACGTTTTTGGTTTATTAAGCTACAGTTTGGGGGATCTGTAGATACATCCAACAATGAGTAAGTCTCTCCCCTTTAGTTTAATTTTACTCCACTTTGATTCTTCAAAAACATCCTCTCCCTGTACCCTCACCTGGCTGGCTCTAAGTTCTTGGCTAGCATAGATAACCACACCCCTCTTGCAAGTTGCTTGAGAAAGGTATATAAATGAGTCATATCCATCTAGATTGAATTCACATTCCTCCGGGTCGATTTTTCTGTTCTTGTAAAACAGTTCTAAGACTCCTGCTATATCAGGTTGATGTACTTTGAGTTGTTTCAAACTCCTGTCTCTTATCAAGGAATGTGTCAGTATTAGTGTACATATATGACTTTCAAGCCAGAATATTTTCTCAGTAACATCTCTGAACTTGGTAGTGATTCCGGCCTCCCCCTAATCTCAGCAGCTGCCTCGTTTACTAAATACAGAACATTGTATTTTGTGGGGTGTGGTCAAAGATGACATTGTTTACATGGCGCTCACCTCCTCCCCTGGTTCTGTACTGGTGCACTTGCCTCCACTACCTTCCCCTTGTACATAGCCCATGCAGGTCCGTCCATCCCCGGTACATATACAGTACGGTAAATAAATAAATACATGAATGTAAGATGTAGGATTAGTATTATTGTTATGTTGGTGCTACCCAGGAACCCCTGGTAGCAGAGATGAGCTGTGGCAGGCAGTTCCCGCCTGTCAGTCATGTAGCACGGATCTCCACATTAAAGTTCTCGGCTGCTGCATGGTGTTTCTCCTCCCCTTCAAGAAAACGCCTAATAATGTAAGATGTGAGAACTACTGAACAAGCAGAGAGAGAGAGAGAGAGAGAGGTCAGTCATCTGTTGTTCTCATAGTTGCCAGTTTAGCATTGTTTTCACTGTCTACCTTTAATGCCACTTGTAATAGTTTTTGGCATTTAGCCAAGTCATTGTTAACAATTAGTATTACCTTTTCAGATAATGCTTTACATGTACAGTAATGGTATTTCTCCTGATTTTTTTATGTATTTAGCAACTTTGTAGCAATTTTAGGGATGAATCTAGTGACATTCACAAACAAGTGTTGGCAACACTGGCCGAGCGGCTGCAGGCCAGCTAGCTGTCTCCTTGTTTACAACTGTACAGTACATTCGTGTTAACGTTTAAAAAATCCAGGAGCATGATATGAATATACTGTAACTGCATTTTGTTTGTAAGAAACCGCAGTTAACACCAAAAGATATTTTAATGTTTTGAAAGGTGTTGGTATGTGTAGGGGCTCCCATAATATGACTAGAGTAAACACTGACCTTAGGCTGAGTTCAGTAAAAGTTACTCGTGTGGAAAAATGCGACAGTTAGGTAAAACTTAGTTGTGAGTGCTGGAAATTAAGTGCCTGAGACCTACCGGTACAGTAGAGTGAAAATCTGATGTTAGTGGTGGAGTGTACTTAGAGGTTCACATTTTATACCTGTTGTATACGACGACCCCTAGTTTAGAACACAAAAACTGGAGCTTCAGTGGTCGACTTACTTATAAGCTGTAATATATACGGTATATTAAATGCTTCAACAACAGTGACATTACCAACCTACAATACAAGCAGAGGCATACCTGAAGGAGGAGAGGTAGTCATATGGGGAGTTTGGGGTGAGGGCAATGCCAGTCTTGTCCCTGGCCATAAAGGGTTGAGTGATCTCATAGAGAAGCTGGGCACCCAAATCCATGTCAGTGGCCCTTACCGTCACCACCTTCTCCCCCACCGGCAGCCGCTCACTCACGTACTGTACGTAAGATTCCTGTTTCGGGAAATAAAAGTTAAGTAAGAATAATCATATGTCAGTTAGAACATACATGGATGTACAGTATTACCAGTAGTACAGTTCAGTATGTCCTACCTGTAATAAAAATTATATCTGTCCCCCCAAATTTGCGGTGGGGGACATTTTTACTTGTGTACAAAGAAATGTATATTCCCGTATGTGTTTGCCCTAAGGACAATTATTTCTTTTACCTGTATTGTAAATATATGTGTGTCTAGACACACACACACACACACACACACACATATTTACAATACAGGTAAAGGAACTTACTGTCTCTAGAACGAATGGCTCTCTGTCCCAGCCGCAAAAATGCCAGCAACTTTAAAACTACCCACAGACATTCTTGGGCACATCCAGGGTGTCATCCGCGAAAAAAATCTACGGACTTGGGGTCGCCTGTATTGTTATTTTTTTATCATTCCACCTTTGATGCCCGTCTATATCATGACCAAAATATATAAGAAGTGGATTCATCAGTATTTTCTCTTTACAAAAGTTCTGGACTTCCTGATTTCTTTTGAAATTCCTCAGTACTGTACAGTATTTACCTAACTGCAAAACAAGAATACATGAAGCTGAACATCTAATCATGTGATTCTAACTTAAAGGTTTTACATGTGCAGTAACTCGGTACAACAAATTAAAAATAGAAGAAACAATCTGCCACAAATTAACAAAACTGTTAATGCGGTTTTAAGAAATAGAATACAGTAAGTCTTTGTTTAACGTTTCCCCCCTTAACATTGTTTCGTTATAACGTCGCTACTCTTTAGATACCAATAATTCGGTTAACGTGCCTACGACTCGATATAACATCATTTTTGCGTCGTCACGGACTACTTTTTACGGCGCATCACCCTCTCTCATCTTGCCGCGCTACGCTCTATCAGCATGGTGCGTTACCTCTCACTCGCAGAATGTCACACAGCTTACCCAAGCGACGCCAGTCTTTGTTAGGCTTCCACAGCACTCTTATGTGTTCAACTGTTTTTGCTCTAAAACTGTACTCTAACCATTCGAATTGGCTTCCAAGCGCCCATCAAGTGCTACTGATGCTAGTGTAGTGAAGAAGCAACATAAAACCATTTCCCTTGCTACGAAAATGGAGGTTTTAACCCGTTTTGAAAAAGGGGAACATGTTGTGGACATTGTTGGTGCGCTTGGTCTAACCCCCACAACAGTGCATACTATCCAAACCAACACAGACAAGATTAAGGCTAGTGCTGGAAGTGGTAGTTCTCTGAGTGCAACAAAGACAAGTCGTACTCGAAGTTCCGTGATTGAAAAGATGGAAAAGATGCTGGCTGTGTGGATGGAGGACCAGAATCAACGCAATGCCCCTGTGGGCCTTATGGTTATCCAGCATAAAGCAAAATCCTTGTTTGAAGACTTAAAGGCAGAAGAAGGTGAAGGATGGTTTTAACGTTTTAAGCATCATTATAACTTCTATAATATTAAGAAGACTGGTGGAGCTGCTAGTTCAGATATGGTTGTTGCCGAGATATTCCCGCCTGAATTCAAAAACATTATCGAGGAAGGAGGCTACCCAGCGAAGCAAGTCTTCAATGAGGATGAGGCTGGTCTCTTTTGGAAGAGGATGCCAGAAAGAACATATATCTCAAAGGAAGAGAAAAGAGCGCCAGGTTTTAAAGCGGCAAAAGACCGTTTGATGCTGCTGCTTGGCGCGAACGCTGCTGGCGACTTCAAGCTAAAGCCTATGCTAATTTCTCGCGCTGCCATCCCACGGGCCCTGAAAGGTTACTCTAAGGATCACCTTCCTGTCATTACAAGGCAAATAAGAAGGCATGGATAACCAACGTCATATTTAGCCAGTGGTTAACCGTGTACGCCATCCCTGCAATGAAGGAATACTGTAGCAAGGAGAACCTAGACTTCAAAATTCTTTTTGTCACTGACAATGCTTCAGCTCATCCTCCCAATATCAATGACTTACGGGACAATGTTCGAGTTGTCTTCCTGCCTCCCAACACAACAGCACTGATGCAGCCTATGGACCAAGGCATCATCAGTGCATTCAAGGCATATTATTTATGGCTAAAGGCTACTGATGGAGAAAATAAACCTACGATCCGAGATTATTGGCGGGACTTAAAGATTCTTCATGCAATTGACAACATTGGCAAGGCATTGGAAGAAGTTTCAGAAAGTTGCCTGAATGGTGTGTGGCATAAATTGTGGCCCGAGTGTGTCAACAGTTTTACGGGATTCAAAGAACTTGGTCCCAGCTGTGAATAGGGATATCCTCAGCTTGGCTAGACAGGCAGGCTTTCATGAGCTGGAATCAGAGGATATTGAGCAAGTCCTGGCATCCCATACAGAAGAGCTCACCAATGAGAATTTGCAACAACTAACAGAACACAGTCCCGTTGAAGACGACGATTACGAAGAAATAACACAACGAACGCTAACTACCAAGAGGATAGCAGAAGCGTTCAACATGAACCAGCAAGGAATGCAAATCTTCATTGATGACGAACCAAATAGAGAACGTAGCTCAAAGATTCAAGGCAGCATTGATGACAGTCTTGCTTGTTACAATGAGATCTACAAGGAGAAGAAGAAGAGGAGCACTAAGTAGTCAACGCTGGATACTTTTTTCGTCGCCAGAAGGCAGTAGCAGCAGCATCTTCACAACAGCCTGCAAGCGAGGAGGAGCAAACAGCAGCTGAGGAACCCCAGTCAGAGCGGGAGGAGGAGACACCCGCCGAGTCTCAGTGACTTCCCACCCTCCTCCGCTCCTGCCATCCTCCTCCTCCACTCACTACCCACCACACACTCCACCCATTAGTGAGTACAATACAAAATTATTTATATTATATATATATATATATATATATATATATATATATATATATATATATATATATATATATATATATATATATATATATATATATATATATATATATATATATATATATATATATATACAACTGCCCTCTTTATCGACAGGGGTTACGTTCTGTAAACGGCAGTCGATAAAGAAACCGTCGATACCGTGATGGTTACGTAATTTTTCTAACTATTATTAGCATATGTTGAATAAATGTACCTTTAAGCATTAATGCGTTTCCTTTACACATAACCTTAAATAATAGTGTATAAATAATAATATAATAAGTGGACAAAAATACTAGCAAACTTACGATTTCATTTATTGAAGTGAACATCGGTCCTTACAGTAAACAAAACAGTGTACAGTACAGTAAAAGTCCAAAAATCCGGATGCCCAAGGCAAATTGTTTACCATTTATTATTACAACACTTTACACTGAAACGCGGGTAGTTTCAACAAAAATATTGTATATTTCCATTCAAGTATTTATTCAAGTCAATTAGGAGGGAATATTATTGTAATACAACAGTTTTTTAACTAAACCATTCGAAAAGTGATTACGGTAACATCTTTTGAACGAAAGAAAGCGCAAGTCATTGTTTTCGTCACGATTTGATCCCACTTTCCACTGTAATACATACGTCATTTCAACAAAAATATTACATTTCCGTGAATGTATTATATCAAGCACAGTATGAATAGAATATCATTGTAATATAACAGAATTTTAACCGAAAACTATTAAAAAAACGAGTAACATCTCAAGAACATTGGAAGGTTAGGTAAAGTCTTTTGTTTTCGTCATGTATTTTATCCTATTTTACATTGAAATACGTCACGTTTCAGCAAAACTACTATTTATTTCCGAGAATATATTCATTCAGGCGCAGTTTAGGTAAAATATACATGTGATGTAATAATTTTTTAACTGAAAACGATTCGAAAAACACGTAGCCTCTAGCCCTGTTCAAGGAGAGGACTGGGAGAAGCTGTTTGGTGCTGCAGACGATGACAAGGAAAATGATTTTGATGGATTTTAATGAAAATATTCAGAAATATGGTATCGTAATATTTATTCAAGTCAATTAGGATATTATTGTAATACAATACAACAGTTTTTTAACTAAACCATTCGAAAAGTGATTACGGTAACATCTTTTGAACGAAAGAAAGCGCAAGTCATTGTTTTCGTCACGATTTGATCCCACTTTCCACTGTAATACATATGTCATTTTAGCAAAAATATTACATTTCCGTGAATGTATTATATCAAGCACAGTTCAAAATAAAAATCCGGCTAAATAATCCGTCGATAATCGAAACCGTCGATAAAAAATCCGTCGATAAAGAGGGAGTACTGTATATATATATATATATATATATATATATATATATATATATATATATATATATATATATATATATATATATATATATATATATATATATATATATATATATATATATATATATATATATATATATATATATATATATATATATATATATATATATATATATATATATACAGTGAGTTCTGCTATAACGCGTGTTTTGATAACGCGAATTTGCTCTAACGCGATTTATGAATTAGGAACGATATTTGTATAACGCGAACGCTTGTTTGCTATAACGCGAACGCATGTTTGCTATAACGCGATTTTTGCTTACTATTTCTCCAATTTTGTGGTATTAATTGTGAATATGGTAAAGAAGAATATCTCCAAGAAGTGTTCTGGTGATAGAATTCCCGGTGATGATCGTAAAAGAAAGGATATAACACTTGAAAAGAAGCTCGATGTTATCAACCTCAAAATCACCCTTCTCCCCCATCAAGTTACATTCATATTTTTTCAAGGTAAAGTGTTACATTTACTGTATGATTTCATTATTAGATATGAATGTAACATTTATTTAGACTGTGCTATCCTTTGTGTTAGGCTAACTACTAAATTTTTTCGATTTCGAGTAATCTGCACTTAACCCTATTTTCTCCATAAGCCCTGTTATTTCTATTACGCGATTTTCTAAAACACGATATTTTACAAGAACACAATTATCGCGTTATAGCAGAACTACCTGTATATATTATTTTCTAATAAAAATGCCATTGAATTTCTGTACAGGTGCTCCTCTACTTACGAACGAGTTATGTTCCTGAGGCTTGTTTGTAAGTCCAATTGTTTGTAAGTCCAACTTTACTCTTGTAGATACCAAACATATTGTAAAAAATGAAAAGATTATGGATATTTAGTACAGCTATACCCTTTAATACAGCCTTAAAGCCTGGCTCACTCTTCTCCTCTTAGGTACTGTTTGTTCTATCTGGAATTTTCTTCAAAATAATCCAGTCTCATCCACATTAAACACCTGTTCTGGCAGGTGACCCCCCCTCAGTGATGATGTTTGTATCTCTGAAAGTTTGTAAGTTGAACATTCTTAAGTAGAGGAGCACCTGTATATTTAATGTACAGTATTTCATGGGGCAAAGGGAGGCTGGGGAACATAACTCCTGTATTTTATCTATATTTTATGGGGAAAATTGATTCCGTTAACATCGCGTTGCGGTTTTCAGGAACGGAACCACGACGTTAAACGAGGACTTACTGTACAATATATGTTCAAGATTACATAGCACAATGATAATAAATAAATACAATATGCCTACTACTTTTTTCCATAGATAAAGGTTTTCAATATTACTGTATAATGAATTCAACTCAACATGGTGACACAAATTACTAATACCATGTACAGTACTATATTATATACAAGAAATAAAAATATTCTATTTGTCAAGTATCAACTATTGCACAGTGAAGCACTAGAAAACCTATATTAATGATACACTTCATTAAAGTGATAAAATTCAACACCCCAAAATATAACAGCTCTATAAAATACAAGGAAAAGCTCTTGAATAAACTTACTTGGTTAAACTTGGGTGACTTATTGTTGACATCAATAAGGGAGACTGCGACTGTGGTAGTGGCTGTCTGACGTGTCTGTGACCCGCTGTCCACCGCCGCCACCACCAACTGTACACAACACACAGCATTAAATTATGATAAAAATATTAAAATTTGATGGTACTGTACAGTGGTCCCTCGGTTAACGAGCACAATTCGTTCCAGAAGGTTGCTCGTTAACCAAAAAATTCATTAACAGAAACCATTGTTTCAATGGATTTTTGGGTAATTGGTTCTGGCTCACCGAAAATTACATACTGTACAAACGAAAAATAAATGCAGTAAAGTACACTTACTTTGAGGTGTGCATGTAGAAGGCTCCTGGTTGATGATGATGATGATGATGGGAATTAGAATCGGGGTGGAGGAGAAGGGAGAAGAGAAGGCATTGGGGTGGAAGAGAAGTCACCCCATGCTGCCATTTCACCCATAAAATTTTAGTTCTCTTGGTGTAATTCAAGATAATTTTCATTAAATCAACACTGCACTGTGCTATATATGTAAAATATATTTCAAAATGACCAATAATTTGACTGGAAACACAGAAAAGCCATTTTTTTCTAAAAAACAGTTTTTGTGATATAACCCAGAATGCGACGCTTAGCTTTTAACCTCGGTATGTTAATGCCGCAATAAAAAGCGTTTATGTTGAAGAGTCTCAAACAAGATGTTCCTTCCTCTGAACCGGTAAGCAAACTGACGCCAAGCTTGGTGTGTTGGGTGGCTGTTGGGAGCGCAAAAAACTAGTTTCCTGTACTTCAATTATGTTCAATAATTGTTAAAATGACTAAAAAATTTAATATAAAACTTTTAAAATTATTGAATAGTACAACCTTCTTGATATTTACTAAAATGGTAAGGAATTTAAGCCCTAAAACTGATTACTGTATTGGCAGACTAATACTACTGCTGGTGAGCAAGCAAAAGCAGGTGAAAACATGTTGGGAAAAATTCGTAAGGAATTCGTTAACCGAAATTTTTTCGTTAACCGAAGTGAAGAATCTTATGGAAGGTAATTAGTTAACCAAAATTTCGTTAACCGAGGCGCTTGTTAACCGAGGGATCACCGTATTACTAATTCAGAAACAGCAGTGCAAGTTCAGGTTCTAATACAGTACTGTAATATCTATACAGTACAGTACTCAGTATTTATTAATGTATGCACTTATTTATTTTCCAAGTACAGCTAGGTCCCGACTTACAACTGCTTCGACTTACGACTGTCGGGACTTACGACCGCCGCAGTTGTGACCATTTTTTTTTTTTTTTTCCCCAAATGACACACACATTTTCTATACCGAAACGTTTCCAGTTAATGTAGTCTCCATGTATAATTAGAAAATTATGGGAGCCCCATGTGCATTCAGCTGACTACATAAAAGGTAAGTGCTGTCACACTGTATCCATTCCTCATTATTTATTACTTTCACTGTACTGTATCCATTCCTCAATATTTATTACTTTTACTGTACTGTATTTCATTGTAGATTTTTTATTTAAAAAAATAAATAAATAAATTTTTTATTTTTTTATTTTTTTTATCTATGTCGGACTTACGACCTGGATTTGGGTCCCGAACCCCGTTGTAAGTCGGGGTTTAGCTGTACCAGTATACAGTATGTACGTTCAAAGAAAGAGTGTGTTTTCTGATAATTTTTTTGTATAGTATCAATATCAAAATAGGCAAAGACAAAATTTCAGGAACAATGAAGGGATCCTACACAGGGCACAGGCAATGTTACTGAGTAGACTAATATGCAAAAATCTTCTTAAATCTTATATCACATTAAATTCACTGAGAGGTAATGAATGCAGAAAAAACTGAATCACCTAAGCTTGTATGTGTGACATACTTTATTTCAACATTTGCCACACAAATACCTGTTCTGAGTACATTGATCTAAAGTAAAGTTCATCAGTTATTCAACCAAACTTCAAACATTAAGTTGACCTATGTTTGTGTCTCACTAGCAACAAGGACTAGTAATACTGATAGTTTTTCCTTTCACAGTAGACTAAAGGTAATTCAACAAAATAGTCTGATGGCCTGTTAACATGGCCAGGCAGCATCTTATATGATAGTTCAGATTTTAGAATCTTGAAATGGAAACTGACCTGGTACTTAGGGGTGATGTCACGGTCGAGGCTGGCCCCCTGGGCAACAATGATCTCGCCTGTGGTGGCATTCATGATGAAGTTGTCTCTGGCGCCTGCTGTCAACATGTACATCAGGGCTTCATCAGGGCCGTCAGGGTCGCTAGCTGACACTTGTACCACTTTCGAGCCTTAAGAGGACAATAAGAGGATAAAACAACCAATGTAATGAATAGGATGAAGCTTATGTTCAAGTGTGGCAAAATGATAATATAGCGAGTAATAGGAATAAATTACAGAGTGACGCAAGGGTGCATGGGTAGATTTTATTTGAGTGGGGGGGGGGGGTGCAGTCCCCTACCCAAATAAAGACTCTGCTGCCAGAATTTTATATCTAAAATTTAAGTCCTCTACTTTTTTTTATCAAAATGCACTAGTATATCAATATATTGTCAGTTACATTCTTTTCTGAGAATAATTACTGTAGATAGGTGAAATATCCATAATTTTTTACTGACAACCTTATTGAACAAGAAAACTGAATCAATTCTTCTTGTGAGAAGAAAGTGAATCAAGCAACTAAACTAGTAGGTCTTATAAGAAGGTCATTCAGATACCTAGATGGTCCATCCTTCTTGACGCTCTTCAATAGTGAGGTGCTTCCCCGTCTGGAGTACTGTCACCCCATCTGGTCCCCGAGATATGCTAAAGACTGTCAACTGATTGAAAATGTCCAAAGGATGGCCACCAGACTGGTGCCTGCACTATGGCACCTCAGTGATCCAGAGAGATTGGAGCACTTGCAACAGCCTAGCTTTATGCTACAGACAGGCAAGGGGGGACCTAACTGAAGTGTATTAATATCTCAGAGGGCACTATTCAGTCGAATGTCCATACCTGTAGCTGGTGGACGCCCACCCCACAAGGGGTCACAGCTCAAGGTTGAAGAAGCCACAAGTCCAGAAAACTCTGAGGGCAAACTTTTACAATCTGTTTTTTACAATCTGTCACAGAGTGTTGTGACGGCCCCGAGTGTGGGTTCTTTCACGACCTTACTTGACCAACACTGGAGCAGGTTCAGATATATTCAAGAGCCAGTGCATGCCGAGTACTTGCCAACAGTGAGTAACAGAGATGTGATCAACCGCCCATGCGGCTAACGAGCCTATCAGTGGCGAAGAGGATAAAAATAAAAATTTAAATAAAAAATATACCCACAATTATTTACATGCGATAGTAAACATTACTTAAAAGAAGTGTGATGACCTATTCTTCTTTCTGCCAAATACAGTACGGGGAATACCAATAATCCTGTTCATGTTATTTTCAATTACAGCTCCTCCCCGACTTACGACGGGGTTAGGGACCCAAATCCAGGCCGTAAGTCGAAATGGTCGTAAGTCGAAAATGTTTAAATAATACGTAGAAAATCTAAAATGGGTGTCTCTTTTTCTTCCCAGTACCACAAAATTCTCACTTTTAAGCTTGCCAGCCATTTTAAAGGGAATTATTAACAAAAATTTTGTCAGTACACAGTGCAATCACTGATGTTTGGACTCGAAAATACGTAATTTGACAAAATTTTGGTACGACTGAGGCAGATCGTAAGTGCGGGTGGTCGTAAGTCGAGTAGGTCGTAAGTCGGGGAGGAGCTGTACTTTTGTGGTATAGGCACAATCAATGTTCAAAATAGTGATATTACTAGACGTTGCTCTCTCATGGTTGTGTGGAGGTATGCTTTCATATGACGTAGTGCACTGAATGATCTCTCTGGTGTACATGATGTGGCTGGAATTGTAGAAGTTCTGTACAGCTGTGGCATGAAGTCATTAAATTCTTTTTGGTACATAAATTCTACAATGGTACATGTAGTAGCATTTAATAAGTTTAATTCCAATGGGTTTTCAAGCAGAAAACTATTATACAGTATACTGTATTGTATTTCAGTCACAAGTATTTCTTTGTCTAGTGAGTAGAATGTGCAGATAATATCAAGGCTAGATGGGGAAGGTGAAGAGCTTAATATGAAATCACTAAGAGCCCACAGAACCTGGTCATTACTGTACTTTCAAACCAAGACCCATCTCCCCAATAACTTGTCAAGGCTTCGAAAATAAATCATGACACTGTAGTATTCCTCGGCCGTTTGAACTTCGGGAGCATCCAATGACTCTCCGAGGAGTGCTTGCAGGCACCGTGAAGACTTGGTTCTTTGTGGTTTCACATCACGGAAAGAAAACTTTGTGCCATCTATTTCTTTCTTGATGGTAGAAGACATCATTTGAGCAGTGGACCACAGTTGCTGGAAACTTTCATCACTTCAACACCCGAGCAACACCAATTTTGTAAGATGATTTAGTTATGTTACACCAAATACAAATTCATAGCCACATACTGCATGTAGTAGAGCATTTACATTTGCATAGATTTTTGGGTTGCAATTATCTGATAAGGTAACAAGACCCCTGATGACTTTAGGCATTTGATCAGTGACAGCTCTCACAGATGCCCAGTGACACAACCAACTAGTTGCACATAACGATTTCAATGTGAGGTTGATGTCATTATCCTTCACCTCAATGTCTTTAAAAAATGCATGGCACTTGGAACTCGACTCAAAAAAATTATACAGACTCTGTATTGTTCCAAGTGCATTTTGGAGAGGTTCAATATTTGCCATTATATCCTGGATTGCCAGGTTCATGGGATGACCATAGCAATGCACATGAATACCAAGTGGAGAGCATTCCTTCATCTGTGCAGCTAATTCTTTTCTTTCACCTCTCATATTTGAAACTTCATCAAAACACTTCACAACAATGTTCTTCAACTCCAAATTAAGTTTTCTGATAGCACTTTTCACTAACTCATATGGGGCTTCACCTTTAGTACACACAGTTGGATAGAACCCAGCAAAGGCTTTCCCTTGAAATACATACCTCAAACATAGCAAAACCTGTTCTGTCCTGCTAATGTCTGACATACGAACACACACAATAACTCGGAATAGCCCCTGGAGGGCTCTCAGCTCATAAACTCTGAGACACTGAATGGAAAGTACAAATTTTCAAATATGAATAATATTAGGGTAGCCATGTTGCTTGCAGTGCTTGCCCGAATCATTGATATGCTATTACCCGAATTTTTTGTCTTTTCAGAGTTTTATGGGGGCTGCAGCCCAGCCCCCCCCCCCCCTTGCACACCCATGAGAGTGAGAAATAAGATAGGATGGTACAATACTGATAAAACTGGCTAAGGTTTTATGCTGCAATTAATTCACAAAAAAACATGAAAAAATATTGTATCTGGACTCAAACTTACCAGATATTTGTACATTATGCAATATTTCCCCCTATATGGATGTGTAAGAATGTACTGTATCTATAAATGATCAATTTCAATTTTGACAGAATGTTGACAATCACAGTAGCATTGAATCTGTACTCAGACTCTACCCACAGTCAGGTAGAAAATGATCACACTTTTAAGAACTTTGGTCCTGATGAAAATCAGGGATGACACGACAGGTGGCATGATAAGGACGACTCACCTGGGGGAGCATCCTCCAGTACCTGGGCCTGGTAATCTCTCTGACGGAATCTGGGAGGTCTGTTGGTGTCCCGCCCCACTGTGACGAACACTCGCACGTCAGTGTGGCGCCGTGGCTCACCTGTTGGATGGCATGGAAGCGTGCTTGTGTACATTTGGTGTAAATTTATCAAAGGGATCTTTTCCACACAAAATATGTTAATACTTATGCTAAAACCAGTGTCAAATATCATTTACTGTAAATAAATTTCAACAAGTCCAATAAAAAAGTTATCAAACAAAATCCAAAATAACGTAAATTGGTATAAAAAATCTATGAAAAGTGAGCTGCCACAGTAACATTATATGAGGCGTTGCGAGCAGCAGGGACGAGCTTATTAATTTTTGTTTTTGAGAAAAATGCAAATTCAAAGTTTGTGTAACACAAACACTTTACCTCCAAGCAACTCACATACCGGGAGTATATGCTTTCTGTTTCTGCTTTGCCACAACTCTCTTCTAGCTTTCTTCATGTTTCTGACACTTATGACAGTATCCTGACACATTCTTCTCACTATCACTACTTGAAGAACTAGTGGTGTGCACTAATAATGCCATAAAATGGGTAATTCCAGGAGCAAACATCACTGTATATGCAGATTTTGCATGCGAGAAACAGTTCTGACTTGTGAGTGAGTATCAGACCCTCTCCCATTGGATGAGTGGCCACCCAGTGGACAAGGCGGCCTCTAATTGGCTCGCACGCTTGCCCATGCAGCTATGCTAGAATTCTGTAGCATGCTGAAAAGTGCACCGTAATTATAAATCATAATTTGCTGGGGAAAAGGGCAAGAATCCTGTGTTTCTCGGTCGCACATGAAAGAGCACAGTTTGAGCTAAAAGGAACCATAGAAAATGGATTTTCCAACAATTGATCAGCTTGCCCTTACTGCTCGCAACTCTTCATATTCACTTTATTAATATGGTTGTGGTATTTCCTACAGTGGGGGACTTCTCCAGTGGGATATTGTTCTTACATATTATAATACATGTAATCCAGATTCTATCAAGTGTCAGCATAACACTCTGAATTTATGAATATTTTGAATGTACTGTATCATTCCCCTATCAATTGTCTTGAACTACTGACGTTTACCTGCATCAGTAGCACGGATAGTGAGGGTGTAGGTGGATGTGGGGGTGTCAAGGTAGGTCAGGGGTCGCTGGATGGACACTTCTCCACTGATGGGCTCCATGAAGAATGCTTCGTCCTCAGTGTTGCCCTCCTGCAGGGAGTAGAACACCTTCCCCCCACCCTGAATCTCTCCATCAATGTCCTTCGCCTGGAAAAACACTAAAAGTTAGTCATTCTCACCAAGAGCTTAAGATGATAAATTCCCAGGTGCACTGAATGTGATGACTTAAAGGAACAGTTGTTAAATATTTATTATACAGTACAGTAAGCCTCAGAATATAGTTTGAATGTATAAGAGTCCCTAAATTATTTTAGCAATTGCTAAAGGAATACCACACCAAAAGTGGAGCATTCTTTTAAAAAACAGAAACGTCATCACCAATTACAGTTTAATTTATTTATCTTAGTTTAAATCAGCAGCAGTTGTCAGAGAAGAATGAAACTCATCTGCGCATAAGATTAACTTTAATTACACCTACAACGACAAATGTTTACAACTCACAATGAAGACTATGGTAACAAAACTACAACACTGAAGGTATGACAAGAGCTCTATTGCACTTCCTGTAGGTGAGCTAAAAAATGGCTTAAAATTTAATTAACAGATACAGGTAAAGTAGTCAGATTTTGTACCAAAATATTTATCTAAACTTCATGTTGACTATACAGTACCAACAGAGCAATAGTGACCTTAACAAAAAGTGGTGGGTCAAAGGATGCAGCGCCCTCGTCTACTGTCCTGCGGTATTCTCTCTTAGAGAACTCTGGTGCATTGTCATTCTCGTCTTCCACATTGAAAAAGATGTTAACAGAAGTGACCTTCCCTCCGCCGTCAGTGGCCGAGTATGTGAGGGAGAAGGTCTTCTGCCGCTCATAGTCTAGACACGTCTCCATCCCACAGTTGGCAACGTAGATTTGGCCAGTACTGCTGTTTACTCGGAATTTCTCTGCTCCGAATCCTTTGAGACTGTAGCTGTAGGTGGGAACATAAGCTATAAAGGTTATATAATCCTGGAGCTCATGCATTAAGAATTTCATATTCCAATACCAAGAAAACTCTACTTCTAAACAAGCGACTCCCACAAATATTCTAAAATATACTTGTAGCCACCCTGACAATATTGCTACACTTAATTGTATGATGCCCTACTTAACTGTAAAGTCATTATGACACTTTTATACACAGATTATTGTAGTGTAGTACAGTACTGTACAGTGAAAATATTCATTCTGAGCTACAGTACCTCCTCCAACTAATATTTATCATCAAATAACCCTGTTCTTAACTTGCCCAACATTTTGGAATAAATCAATGTTTCTCACCTGAGTTGTCCAAAGATACCAGAGTCTGAGTCATTGGCAAGGAGGGTGGTGATGAGGAACCCACTGCCCACACCCTCGCTCACACCAAACCTGCTCACGGATATGAATAGCTAAATCAGAGATGAACTGGAGTATCAATATGGGTGTTTGTCTATGAAAGTCATTTGTAAAAGGAAACTGATATGATAACTAAAAATATTCACAGGATTGTATATTTTCAGCTAAATTATAACATTACAGTTCTTTACTTAAAAAAGAGTATGAATAGTATTTTTATTAAGACACTAAGGTTATGTCACGTCACGTGTTCCTGATTCTGTACTGTAAATAAGAATAATTATATCATGAGGACCATTAACCAGGACCAGTGAAAAGGAGATGACTCTACCTGTAGGAGGAGTGGAGGAAGGTAGGGGAGTTGTCGTTAGCATCTGTGACAGTGATGTTGACGACAGCAGCTGACACTGGTACTCCTCGTTCACTCGCCACCACTGTAATCCATCATTATAGTACTAATGTAGGAACACTAGCACATTTACTCCAGCAACTGATATCTGATCCTCCTTCTAAGCCCCATGCAATGTAATGTACATACACTGTTAATGCAGTAATAAAGTATAAAATATTTCTAACAAGAGTAAAGTCCGTGTATAATGAATAACCCAAACTTACTGTATTCCACAAAGAAATTTAAAACACAATTTATTTAAACCTTTAAAGAGGAAATTTGAAGCATCAGAATTTTCGTAGTCAAGCCGTGAGGAGTCAGCGACCTTGATGATGACAGGAGTCCTGCCAACAGCTGTTTCGGGGAAGATGGAGAAGACACCCTGGGAGCCAAAAATGTCCTCCAGGGCCAGAGAGAAGCGGGCATTCTCCCCCACGTCCCCATCCGTCACCACCAGGTTTAGGCCCGGCAGCGGTGTCCCATTGGCTAAAGGGAGAACCACAATACAGTATAGTCTCGATTTACACGTGAAGAAATTCTGCGAGCAACATAATGTTCCATTCAACATTTTGTTGCTCCTTGACAACACACCAGGACACTCACCCCTACTGTTGGATCGTCACCCCAACATAAAAGTGGTCTTCCTTCCTCCTAACACTACGTCATTAATCCAGCCCATGGATCAAGAGTTTCGGCTCCTTAATGACTTGACCAACACCAAGGATGAATTGCAGAACCTTAGTGACACCGATAGCGAGAGCGAGGATGAGGGTCAAGAAGAAGAGTTGGCGGAGCAAAAAGTTCGCGTCAAACAGTTTTGGAAGAAATTCAACGTAAAGAAAGCTGTTGATTTCTTGGTGGAGGCATGGGGGCAGCTGTCTGTGGCATCGATTCGTCACGCGTGGCAGCATGTGTTGCAAGGTATCTCAGGTGGGAGGCAGAGGCAACCTGTGACTGGTGAGGTTCAGTCTGTTGCAGTGGACCTTGCAAGAGAAGCTGCACAGTGTTACAGCTGCAGGATTCTCAGAGACCAACAACGACGACATCATGGAGGTGATCAGGGATCCTGAGGTGACTGCCGACTAGATGTTGGAAGACGATGACGTCAGTGAGGAGGCAGGTGGTGCGGCAGCCCGAGAAGAACAGAAGTTAACATATGGTGATGTAAAGGATGCCATCGAGTTTGCCGAGAAACTGAAGCTCATCCTTTCCAAAGACCATGTCAATCACCAGTATGAAGTCTTCAATAACCTTCTAGACCAAAGTATGGAGCAGTACATCAAGATGTATCACGAACACATCAACACTAGCCGTCAGCGTAACATCACCGACTTCTTCGCTCGCAATTCACCACAGCCAGCCCAAGTCAGTGACAGTAATGGTGACTTTGAGGGGTTTGTCAGGGAGGCCCTGATATCTGTGGTGGATAGTGATAGTGATTCACCTGAGGGCCACTAATCTGCTCTCTGCCTCGGAACCAGCCCCCATCCTCGTATGCCGACCCATCTCTTCTACTAATGTAAGTGTTAAACCTTGATTTTTTTTACCTGGTGCAGTATATTAATCTCTTATTGATATTTCTCTTCTATATTATGTGTGTGTGCATACCATCATAAAATTAAGATACTATTTTTACTACAACGTACGTATTGTGTCGGAAAAAGTGGAGTTTGGGGGTCGGCCCAGTCTCTATTTCAATTAATCCCATATGTTCTGTTATTTCATTTACTCGTTTCTCATTTTATGCGGACCTCCACGGGTTCAATTGACTGCATAAATGGAGACTATACTGTACAGTACAGTACTGTATGTCTGCTTTAGTTTCTGGAAAAGTTGTGAATCCTCCACAAGTGGTGAAAGTACAGTACCATGTATATTATATATTCCAGTAAATTACATCTCATTGAAACTGCACATGATGATAAGGCTGAACTTCCATTATAATCTAGTGATTAATTTGTAATTTCCAATACTATAGCTCAAAATCATCTTTAACCCTTTCACAGCGGGAGGTTACCCTAAGCTGAATAAAATCGTCTGGCGGTAGTCAGAATAAAATGGCAAGTGCGTGACACGCGATGAAAAGGTTAAGTTAATACAGAATGTTCTTCTAAAGAAAGCTTTCCTTCCTTACGTTAGAATTTCATATAAACACCTCCAAGCTAAGCCAATTTAAACTAACTTTCACATGATAAAATATACAGTACAGTACTGACCAATATCTTCTGGGACAGTAACAGAGATCTCATCTTGGCTGAAGATTGGTCGTTGGTCGTCAACGTCCGTCACCACCACCGTTACCTGTGACACCGCTGCCTCTCCATCCTTCTCCTGAGCCTGTGGCAAAACAAACTTTTGTCACATCTTCAACACAACTGGGAATAACTTTTTTAACAAAACTAACTTAATACATACCATCAAATGGGAAAATTCAAAAGACATGATGTATCAAATCACTTATACAGTATGTTGTATCCCATTTGTCACAGGGAAGTGCAACTAGTTTTGCATGGTACAAATATGTTTTTTGTAAATGTTTTTTATTTTTTTATGGGGTATTAGCCCACCTGTGCACAGGTCATTTTTAATGACCCACATCAAGGCCTGGGGGGCGAAAATATAATAAAATAATAATAATTATTATTATGATGATAATATTAATAATAATAATAGTAATAAAATTAATAAAAAAAACAAAAAATAAATAACAATTATAATAAAAGAAATAATAATAATAGTAAATTTTTTTAACAATTATAAATAATAATACCTGTAATACACAAATAATAATAATACCCCTGTAATAATAAAGAGCCATAAATAAATACTGGTATCCAAATACATAACCTTACCCGAATACTGAATGTATAGAGACCTCCATTGTTGAGGATGAGAGGGTCTTCCCGGTCAAGGGTGACCTCAGAAGTGGAGAGAGTGGCACCAAGGGAGCCGTCTTGGAGAGCACGCACATCAGTGAGGGTGAAGTAGCCAGAGTCGTCACCCTGCAGAGAAAGGGTGAGAGGGCGCGGCTCCCCAAGGTCACCATCTCGGGCATGGACCTCCAGCACTGATGTTCCCTGGACACAGAAGGGAAGGTTACTCAGTGGTCTCTCTTACAACAATTTGATTTATTTTATTATATGCTTTTGCAATTACAGGGTAATGAAAAAAAAATTCAAGGTCATTAATGATAATACTGTACTGTATATGCAGGACAGTATTACTAACCTAAAATGTTTCAAAATATATAAATTGCACACTTCTCTTCATCTACATTACATTAGAAGACAAAACATCCTGACACCAATAAGACTCTCAAAGTATAAAACATCTCTACAACTGAACACTACTATAAAATAAAGCTGTGTATTTTTTTACTTCAAAACTATGATTGGAATTTTTATTTCTGTATTCTCTGACACCATAAATGATGGCTCACCCTAAATTCTAGTGACATACACTACCATGAACACTGAAGTTAGAAAAATTAATGAAGAAAGATTCATAAATTTAAGCTCATATCACATTTACATCAAGACCTTGAAGGACGATGAGGATATTGTGTACTTACAGCCGGGCTAGCCTCCCTAACAGTGGCGCTGAAGGGGGCGTTAAGGAAGATGGGCGGTTGGTCTTGCACATCTTTCACCTCGATCACCACCGTCGCTGTGGAAGTGAGACGCTTCTCTGACCCTCCATCTGACGCCTTCACCTGAGGGGAGATAAAAGAAGTGAGGATGTATAAGATGCTTGAATTATTATGGTTCATTTTTAATAACATGCACTTATTTAAATATGTGACCACATTACCTCTTCTCTGAAATATACCATTAAGGATGCGGAAATTCATAATTAATTTACTTTTCTTATTTGATTAAAATTCAATATAGCAAAACACACATACTAAGCTATATGACCAGATTTCATCTTAATTAAAGTCTATCAATCAACTGGTAAATGATCTGTTACATGTTTTAAGCCAAGTCTTCCTTACTCCTGAAGAATGAGCTGTGTGATCTTACCACCATGGTGTACTGCCTCTCTGTCTCGTAGTCAAGGAGTGCCTTGAGGGAGATGATGCCTACATAATTGCCCTCCTCCACCCTCGCCTCTCTCACCTCGAACTTGGCACACGCCTTCGGGGTCTGTAACATAAACACAACAATACAGTACTGCTTTGTTGATCTTCATGCCGACCACAATACCCATTAGAAGATATTAATGTAGAATTTTGAAAATTTAAGACATTCTGAATTAATAATAAAATGTTTATGTTGAATGTAAATGCTTGAACTAGGAAACAGCTGTCAATAGTTGTCACTACTAGGTGGAGGGTGTGGAAGAGAGATGACCGTATTGATAATACAGTATATTAATGTTTGTTGGAATCTGTAAAGATCTAGTATTGTACTCTATCTCTCTTTCTCATAAAATAACACAAACACACATATACACAGCACACAACACAACACAACACTGTATGCACCTCCTCCTCGACACAATGTAGAGTAACCTCAGCATTGCTCCCTCCATCAGCGTCCGTGACCTTCATCTGAGAGAAGAGTGTAGAGCCAGGGGAAGCAGACTCCATCACCACGAAGCTGTAGGGTTGATCATGGAAGAGCGGCCGGTTGTCATTCACGTCCAAGATAGGGATCTCCCGACGAAGGGGCACTGTGTTAGGCTCATCCCCATACACTCTTTCATCTACAGGAAGGGAAGAAGTTGTCAGTAGGGTGGTGTCGGTTGTGGGGGATGATGATGATGAGTGATGGTGTCAGGGCTATAGGGTAACTACTCTGGGGTGGATCCAGGAGGAGTCCTGGGGGTCTGGACCCCCCCTTTTCATCAGAAAATTCCAATACTTTTTCTTTAATGCAGTATTGTACTCGGGCGTTTTTGTATAGTAAAAAGTAATTACTAGTGAACCTCAGAATATCTCCTAATATCAAGTGCATATGGCTTCAAAATGGCCTCAAAATGCCCATGATATTGGCAGTGTTGTAAAAAGTACTGGACTTTGTTACCTAAATAAAAGTATTGTTACACTGGCAAAATGATACTCAAGTAGAAGTAAAAGTACCCAAAGATCAATGTACTCAAGTAGAAGTAAAAAAGTATCTCATTCAAAAAGTACTCAAGTACTGAAAGTAAAAGGTAACAACAAAATTATTGTCTCAAATATTAAAATAAATCCACAGTAAATGTTAAAAAGAGAGTTAGCCAAAGATAAACATAAAAGAAGCATAACATTAGACATGTTTATTTGCGAATCATTCTATTGAGATTAATCAACAACTGATTCTCAAAATCATGGCTGTCCAATCAGGATCTTTTAGGCCTAAATGTAAGCCCAGCAGGCAGCATGACCTACCAAAAGAGAATATGTTCAGCCAATCTTCTCCCTACAATCCATCTCAGGGATAGTGAATGTGCTGAAAATATATCCATCCAACACTATGATCACTTTCTTCCTTATCCACACAAGTATCGTCGACGTGGACTTATGGTCCCCAGACATAGTGTTGTCTCTGCTCGCATTAGGTTAGGATACAGACCTATCTGGCAAGTATCTGAGGCGGGGGATGACCCACACTTCTCTTCCTGTAAACTCTGTAACTGTCCCAATGTTAACACCCTTCAACACTATTGCCGTGACTGCCCCACTGTCAGGGACCTCCTACCACAGGGAGTCACTAACCACTATATGTCACCACCAACTTATTTGTAATAATTTAAATTTAATTCATGTACTCTATCCATGCTTTGGTGGGTGCTAACTCCCATTGTCCTTAAATCATATCAATATTGTCTCCATACCATAAGTCATAGCGTGTCCTGCAAGACACGAGTAATGTATCAATATATTAGTGTCTGACCACATGGTCTTGTGACTAGGCTTGTCGTCCCATGGAGCTCAACATAACTAAACAGACACCCACAAGCAGCAGATGCAGGTAGTGGGGTGTTGAGTTTGAGACACAAGTCACATAATGTCAGGAAAGACCTCAGTAGCTCTATTCCATCACCTGGGCATACCAAGTAGTAGCTATCAAGCTCCTTCAGTTGAGGAGTTTGTGGATGAATGTTGCCTCCATAAAGACTTGAGTCTGACTATGACTCACTGTGAACTGTCCCTCTAATTGGGGTGTGGCTGTGGTGACGTTACTTTTTTATTCTAATTGATGAGTGGCTGAATTTTTTGCACCACTAACATCTGACGGGTGTTGGGAGGGGAGAACAGTGGTACTGTACTTACGGTAATTATTTAAGCAGGATTTTAAATACACTCAGTCTCACACATGTGTATAGATACAGGTTTAATATCTAAGATGGAATTATGTAAAGCATTTTAGAATCACAGCCTCTTTGAAATTCATTTTAGGAAGACCAAGCCCCTGAAGGAAAGGTGGGGGAGAAGAGAAAGGATTTGATGGGGGAGGGGGGGAATAAGATGCTAGGCTAGGTGAGATGGGTGGTCAAGGTGCTAATAGACACAAGATGATCAAAGGGAAAGTCCGCTGTCATGGCCACTACCACCTGACCTGACCTGACTTCACCTCACCTCACGAGACCTCGAGGTATGTGACCACGTGGTGTCAGCATCATCCCTCCCTCACCGCGAGACACATCAAAGCAACCCTCATATGACCTGTTTGCCGCCAACGGCACCCCCATCGCCTCCTATGGCGCACACATCCTCGCCTTAGACCTCGGTCTTCCCAAGACTCTGCGCTGGTCCTTCATGGTGGCAGCGTCTCTCAACCCACCCTTGGCTTCGACTTCCTCACCTTCCACAAGCTCGTCGTCGACCCAAGCAACCTCTGCCTCATCCATGAGCCTACAGCACACACGATCCGGAGTACACGTGCCGCAGTGGCCGACACTATCACCTGCCTCTCGCCGTCCAACGAGTTCTCCTCCCTGCTCAAGGACTTCAAGGAACTTTTCTCACCCCGAGTCTCTCCACCACCACCTACGTCGGGAATCTTCCACCACATCGAGACTAAAGGACCTCCAGTCTTCTCACGCCCTCGCCGCCTTCGCCATGAGCTTCTGAACGCAGCCAAGGCGGAATTCAACAAACTTCTGCAAGATGGCATCATTCGACCTTCAAAGAGTCACTAGACATAGCCTCTTCATATGGTTCCAAAGCCATCATCCAACGACTGGAGGTGACTACAGAGCCCTGAACCTCGTCACCAAACCTGACAGTTACCCTATCCCACATGTCCAGGACTTCCACCACAAACTCCATGGCAAGACCATCTTCTCAAAGATCGACTTGGAACGTGCCTTCCATCATATTTCAGTGGCACCTGCAGATATCCAGAAGACTGCCCTCACCACTCCGTTCGGCCTCTTCAAGTATGCCTACATGAGTTTTGGACTACGCAATGCAGCTCGGACCTTCCAGAGGTACATGGACCACATGCTTCGCGACCTCAACTTTGTCACTGTCTACATAGACAACATTCTCGTCGTATCTTCAATGCCTGCCGAGCATCACCACCACCTATAGCTCCTTCTCCAACGCCTGCAAAACAACAATATGAAAGTTCATCCCGCCAAGTGCGTCTTTGGAGCCTCCTCCATCAACTTCCTCGGTCACAGAGTCTTGCCGAGCGGCATCCAACCCCTACCACAGAATGTAACTGCCATCAAGGAGTTCCCCAAACTTGAAACAGCAAAGAAGCTCCGAGAATTCCTGGGTTTAGTCAACTACTACCACCGCTTCATTGCCCAGGCTGCTAACATCCTCGCTCCTCTCCACGATCTTCTCAAGGGACTCCCCAAGACGTCTCACAAGCCTCTCATGTGGACTCAAGAGGCTTTTACAGCATTCACCACTATCAAGCAGCACATCACACGCCTTACCCTGCTGGCTCACCCTGCCCCCAACGCCCGGACCACTCTCACAACAGACGCTTCTTCTACTGCCGTGGGCGCCGTCTTACAACAGGAGATCAACGGAACTCTCATGCCCATTGCCTTCTTCTCACAGCTGCTTCAACCACCTCAACTCAAGTACAGTGCCTTCAATCGAGAGCTCCTGGCGATATATCCTGCTGTCAAGCATTACCAGCACTTCCTCGAGGCCCGTCAATTCACCATCTTCACTGATCACAAGCCCCTCGTCCACGACTTTGCTTCAGCCTCCCAGACACATACACTTTGTGTTCTTCGCCACTTGGCTTACATCTCGGAGTTCACCAGTGACATCCAACATATCAAGGGCAGCCACAATGAGATCGCCGAAACCCTCTCTCGTTGTATATCCAGCATTCTTTCCTCATCTCCACCCATGGATTACAGACAGCTCGCCGTAGCTCAAGAGAACGACGAAGACCTTGCAGCATACAAGACATCTCCCTCAGGTATCGCCCTCCAAGAACTCCCCGTTCCCAGCACGAACATCAAGTTGTGGTGCGACATGTCCTGTGGGCAGCCTAGACCGTTCATGCCTCGCATCCACCACCGCGCCATCTTCGACTACATCCATGGTCTCAGCCACCCAGGTGTACGGGCCTCCCAGCACCTTCTCACGCAACACGTCGTCTGGCCCGGCATCAAGGCTGATACTAGGAAATGGGCTGCCCAGTGCCTGGCCTGCCAGTCCTCTAAGATACATCGACACACACGGGCTCCCTTAGAAACTTTTCCTGTACCCAAAGGTCGCTTCCAGGAGTGCACCTCGACATCGTGGGACCTCTTCCATCATCCTGCGGTAACACCTACATCTTCGCCTGCATTGACCGTTTCACCAGGTGGACAGAAACCATTCCCATGCCTAATGCTACAGTAGAGTCAGCCGTCCAGGCCTTCCTGTCTGGTTGGGTCTCCCGTTTCGGTCCTCCCACGACTGTCATCACTGACCGAGGAGCCCAGTTTGAGTCACAACTCTGGCATAGTCTCCTACAGTTCCTCAGCACTTCCAGGCACCGCACTACTGCTTACCACCCTCAATCCCACGGCATGGTAGAGTGGTTTCATCGGCAGCTGAAGGACACCATTAAGGCACAGCATGACCCCTACAGCTGGACGGATGCTCTACCCTTAGTGCTTCTTGGCATCCGCACATCTCACAAAGAGGACATGGACTACAGCCCAGCAGATCTCACCCAAGGCAAACCCCTTCGCCTACCTGGGGACTTCTCACTTACTCCTGACCTAGACCACTTCACTCCTGCCGTCCATCACGACCTACTGCAAACACTATGACAAGCAGTTTCTGCATTCAGAGCTACTACCCCACGCCAGCCTTCTCGTTGCCCTGAACACATCCCTCCTACACTACTCAACGTTGAGTATGTCTTCGTCAGGCGCGATGCTCACCACAGCCCACTTCAACGCCCCTACAACGGACCCTTCCCGGTTTTTGAACGGTCAGCGAAGTTCCTGATGATCATTTGCAATGGCAGATACGACACCGTCAGCACAGATCGAGTGAAGCCGGCCACCTTACCCGATGGGCCCCCAGCCCAGCATTACCCCCCAACAAACCACGCCTGCACCAGTCTGCCTGCAGCTGCCACTTGCAGCACCACCTTGTCCACAACATTTCTGGGTACCCTCTTTTCATCCTCAGGTACCTACTGCTCCTGATACGGACCCTGCTCCTGACGTGAACCCTGCTCCTGATGAGGATCCTGCATCCGGCCCTATGGACCCAGACACCCCACCTGGCCCCCCTGAGGACTTTGCACCTGCCGCGAGAGAAACACCACATTCCTCGCCTGTTCGACCTTCTCTTATCTACAACCCTCCTTCTCCCTTCGCTTCTCCCACAGATTTCGTGTCACTAGACGGAGTCGTCACCCGTAGCGGCCGAGTGGTTTACACCCCCGCCCGTTATGTCTCACATGTGGGATACAACCCTGCCGACAACAAGTTTCCTGCAGCGCTCAGAGGGGAGGGGGAGTATTGTAGTGGATACTCTTCCCTACAACTGCTGGTTGATCACTTGCCGTCCGCTAACCAGCCAACCAGCGGCGAGATCAGAATGTGATGGGCCTCACTTTCGGAGTGCGCGGTGATTGGCCCGTTACCGCCTTCACCTCAGCCAATCAGCAGCGCCGCTCACTTCACACCTCCCGAGCTGATCCAGCAGAATCATATAAATATCTCCCAGCCTCGCCGTGAAGGGGATTCTACTCAACGCTCTCAAACAGACAAGACCTCCTCTCAACAAGCTCCTCACCACACAGCAACTCCCGAGCACTGCATTGTACATAATATATATATATATATATATATATATATATATATATATATATATATATATATATATATATATATATATATATATATATATATATATATATATATATATATAGAAAATGCCATTGTGAGTTTTCTTTCTCACCTCCATCCTTAGTGCTAGATCTCCTACGTGTACGTATGTATGTGAGCCATACCAAGAGAAAATAGACAAACACAAAGAGAAATTTGACAACTGGCCACATACAATATGCTACAATGGCACTGAGTGTAAGTTCTTTCAAGACCAGACTTGACCAACACTGGAACAGGTTAAGGTACATTCAGGAGCCAGTGCATACCCTGTAATTAACAACAGTGCGTAACAGAGACGTGACCGATCGCCCAAGCGGCTAAGAGAATAAAAGAGAAAAGAAAAGGAATGGTGGGCCATAGTTCACTTTATGGTAAATATATTTAAAAGTTGCCAACACCCACTTATATACTGAATCTTATAAAGGGAGAAATTGAAAGAAAAAACAATATTAATAATTTATTCTATAACGTTTCTGTTGGAAATTTATATTTTTCAAGTATTTCAAACAATAGAATTGCCAACAATATTACTTATTCAAAGTAGGCAGGACTTTAAAGTAGAGAAAAAATGTGAGGTATAATACTAATTAACCCTAAACAAACTTTTGAAAACCTTATTGATCATTTAAAAGTCCTAAGACTACAAAAAGTTTACTTTATTCATGTTTTTGGTGTATAATATGTAATGGTGTTGTTTTCGGTTTTTAGTATGTGATGGTGTTGTTTTCATTGCTCATAGGAGGAGGAATCCATACACTCAAAAAATTTTTTTAACACTTTTACATGTTAGGAAATGTCAGGTAAGGTTTTCAAAGGTTTGCTTGGTGTTACTTTTAGTATTTAGTATTTCCTTCAACTTCAAAGTGCAGACCACTTTAAACAACTAATATTGAGGGTAATTTTATCGGTTAAAATACTCAAAAAATATAAATTTCCGACGGAAATGCTATAGAATAAATTATTTTAATTTTTTCCTCTTTTGCCCTTTATAAGGCTCAATATATAAGTAGGTGTTGGCAACTTCTAAATATTAACCCACTTTACTATTCAAGGGGACTTAACGATGTAGGATTTACACCAAGACTCACCTGTGACAGTAATGATGGCCTCGATCATGGACGTGGTTTCTCGGTCGAGGGGATGGACGAGGGTGACGACGCCCGTGTTCCTGTCCACACTGAGATGATCTCCAGACACCGTGAACGATACATCTGTGCCTTCTGGGTCCCGTCCCCGCAACGTGTACACAGACGACCCCACCGGCGTGTCCTCCCTGCAGAGAAGTGTTGGCTCAATTTACCAATCATTTACCAAATTTGCATTTTCAACCAATATGGCTCTAGAGTTGAGTAATGCATTTTTCCGTTGGTTAAGACAATTTTAAAACACTTTTCTTCTATGACGTTTCCCTCGCAAATGACCCAAAATTACCTAACCTAGCCTCCTAACCAGGGGGCTCTGTCCCCTTGGATCCCCCAGTAAATTTAAGTCATTTGCCACATTGGTTGAAAATGCAAATTTACCAAACACACTCTTGATAATGAGCGTATATGATATATACAGTAAATTATAATAAACATTCCATGTGCTAATCTTTCCAGTGATATAATACAGGTTAAAACAATATCTGTTCAGCTGAATTTCAGAAGCGTGCTGCCAAGAGAAAAGGGGAATATAAATGATGACATATAAGACAATGATCTTTAATTATCTTAGTTCTGAATTAGTGAATGAATAAGATGGGAGATTATTCAGTCCTCCTAAACTTTATTTTGTTTAAGCTATAATGATATTCTTTATTTACTTCTCATGAGGTGATACGACTTACCTGAGAGAGAACCTGTCCATGTCACCACCAGGTAAAAACTCAGGAGCTCTGTTGAGTTGCTGCGCCGTGGTCATAGCCGTCAGCATCATCACCACCACCACGCCCACCTCCATTCTGCTGGGCCGAACCACACATCAAACATCACCATAAACAAGAAATTGCAGAATGGCTGTTCAACATTTATTGTCTATGTAGATATTATTTATATAAAAGAGTGGAGGTTGAGAATCTGCCTACTATATTTGTGAGTTAATAATGTGTCAATTTTGTCCGGGATAATGAAAACGAATAACCAATATACCCGTATAGTGTGAGTATCAAAGAAGAATGTTAAAAAAAAATAATTAATGGGTTGAAATATTTGTATACAGTGATTATTATTATTGGTCAATTTAGGATAGTAGCCAGGTTCTCAATTCCGTTATTTTATTGTTTGCAACCACATTACTTAACAAAAATAAGACAGAAGGACTGTGAAGAGCTGCAGAAGGATCTCTGTGGGCTCCAGGAATGGTCGAAGGAATGGCTGCTGAGATTCAATGTCACGAAGTGTAAGAGGATGCACCTGGGGCGTACCAACGGTAAGGAGGCGTACCATATGTCCCAACGGGATGAAGAAAATGTACTAGTTGAGACTGTGTGTGAGAAGGACCTAGGTGTGTATGTTGACAATGAGCTGAAGTTCTCGGGCCATTGTGAGAAGAAGGTAAATCAGGCAAATAAATTATTGGGTCTTATAAGAAGGTCGTTCAGATATCTAGACGGTCCGTCCCTCGTGACGATCTTCAGGAGTGAAGTGCTTCCCCATCTGGAGTACTGTCACCCCATCTGGTCCCCGAGATATGCTAGGGACTGTCAGTTGGTTGAAAATGTTCAAAGGAGGGCCACCAAACTGGTGCCTGCACTTCGGCATCTCAGCTACCCTGAGAGATTGGAGCGCCTGAACTTGCCTAGCTTATACTACAGACGGGCAAGGGGGGACCTAGTTGAGGTTTATAAGCATCTCAGGGGGCACTACTCAGTTGAGTGTCCTTACTTGGAGCTGGCGGACGCTCGCCCCACAAGGGGTCACAGCTCAAGATTGAAGAAGCCGCAAGTCCGGAAAACCGTGAGGGCAAACTTTTTCGGAGTGAGGGTTGTAAACTCTTGGAACAATCTACCAGAGAGTGTTGTGACGGCACCGAGTGTGAGCTCTTTCAAGACCAGACTTGACCAACACTGGAGCGGGTTCAGGTACATTCAGGAGCCGGTGCATGCCCAGTATTTGCCAACAGTGCGTGACAGAGACGTGACCGATCGCCCGGGCGGCTAGCGAGCCGACCTTTTGGTGAAGAATATAAAGGAAAAGAGACGTGACCGATCGCCCAAGCGGCTAACAAGCCGATCAGTGGCGAAGAGGATAAAAGTAAAAAAAAAGTAAAAGTATGACACTTTCTGCGCTGACGAGAAATAACGGAGATATAGGTACACTCGACGCAAAACTCTAAGGTAAGAAAACAATCAACATTAAGGGGGGTTCTGAGGTCAGGTTCTACATGGTTTTTATGGTTAGGTTAGGTTAGGTCCCTCCGTCATCCCTGCCATGGGCATGGGGAGCTTAATTCAAAAACGGGCGGTAAGCGCCAAAAACGAAGGTCAGATTCATTAGAACCATAGGAAAAACTTATTTTTATGGAAAAATCGAAACCTGGCTACTATCATAAATTAACCTTATTATTATTTTATTATCGTGCTCATCATTCTTATAATTTCTATCATTTACTTTATTTAATGCTGTACTCCCACCGTCACGAAATGCAAACAGGCGCAAATAAGATAATAGGTGTTATGAGAAGGACGTTCACATGCCTAGATGGTACGTCTCATAACACTCGTCAAAAGTGAGAAGTGAGATGCTTCCCCGTTTGGAGTACTGTCACCCCGTCTGGTTCCCCAGATAGGCTGTCCTAGAGACTGTCAGTCGACTGAGAATGTTCAATGGAGAGCCACTAGACTGGTGCCTGCACTCCGGTACCTCAGGTAACTGGGTTCTCTCCTCCCTCCACCTTAGCACACCATCTTTTACTTTTACTTTACTTTTATCCTCTTCGCCACTGATCGGCTCGTTAGCCGCCCGGGCGATCGGGCACGTCTCTGTCACGCACTGTTGGCAAATACTGGGCATGCACCGGCTCCTGAATGTACTTGAACCCGCTCCAGTGTTCGTCAAGTCTTGTCTTGAAAGAGCTCACACTCGGTGCCGTCACAACACTCCGAAAAAGTTTGCCCTCACAGTTTTCTAGACTTGCAGCTTCTTCAATCTTGAGCTGTGACCCCTTGTGGGGTGAGCTTCCGCCAGCTCCAAGTTAGGACACTCAACTGAGTAGTGCCCCCTGAGATGCTTATACACCTCAACTAGGTCCCCCCTTGCCCGTCTGTAGTATAAGCTAGGCAAGTTCAGGCGCTCCAATCTCTCAGGGTAGCTGAGGTGCCGAAGTGCAGGCACCAGTCTGGTGGCCCTCCTTAGAACATTTTCAACCAACTGACAGTCCCTAGCATATCTCGGGGACCAGATGGGGTGACAGTACTCCAGATGGGGAAGCACATCACTCCTGAAGATCGTTACGAGGGACGGACCGTCTAGATATCTGAACGACCTTCTTATAAGACCCAATAATTTATTTGCCTGATTTACCTTTTTCTCGCAATGGCCCGAGAACTTCAGCTCATTATCAGCATACACACCTAGGTCCTTCTCACATACAGTCTCGACTAGTGCAGTTTCTTCATCCCGTTGGGACATATGATATGCCTCCTTGCCGTTGGTACGCCCCAGGTGCATTCTCTTACACTTCGTGACATTGAATCTCAGCAGCCATTTCTTCGACCATTCCTGGAACCCACAGAGGTCCTTCTGCAGCTCTTCACAGTCTGCTTGGTTCTTAATTTCCCTAAATAACTTGGCGTCATCGGGAAACATTTGTATGGAGGAGTGTACAACGTCAGGCATGTCATTTATGAAACAAACAAACAACAGCGGGCCCAATACAATGCCCTGTGGTACCCCACTTGTGACAGGTACAGATGACGATTTCATGCCATTAATCACCACACACTGCTTGCGGTCATGTAGAAAGTCTTCTATCCACGCTAGGACATTTCCCCGAATTCCGTACCCTTCCAGTTTGATTTTCAGCCTTTCATGGGGTACACTGTTGAAAGCCTTGGCAAAATCTCGGTAAATATTGTCAATATTACCACCCCGTTCCAGAATATGGGTCCAAATATCCAATACCTTGAGCAATTGTGTTAAGCAGGAGCGCCCCGACATAAAACCGTGCTGGCAATCCTTTACAATGTTGTTTCGTAATAGATGTTCCATTGCGGCATCTCTGATAATACTCTCAAGTACTTTACATATTATGCTGGTCAGGCTCACCGGTCTATAGTTGTTCGTGGTGTGGCGATCGCCCTTCTTGAAGATAGGACTCACATAAGCCACTTTCCATTCACTGGGGACCATTTGTTCATCCAGGCATTTACAAAACAGGATCTTCAGGGGCTCTGCAAGCTCGTTGCACAACTCTCTTAGCACTCTAGGATGCACCATGTCAGGTCTGGGACTCTAATGGACCTTTAGCCTGGGCAGTTTATTTCTAATGCCCTCTTCCGTGAACACAATGTGGGTCAGTGCTGTGTCGAACCGTCTGTCCTCAAACGCAGGAAGGTTAGTTGCATTCTCTCTTGTGAACACCAAAGAAAAGAAGCTGTTCAATGCCTCAGCTTTATCCTGGTCAGAATCTGCGTAACTACCTTCCACCAGCCTCAGGTCTCATACTCCTTGTCACGTGCCTGTGGCGCTCGGGAACTCGCATAGCGTGAGGCATATGTTCACGCCTACATTTCATACAAGCTATTAATAAATTGTTAATTGTACTTATTATATTATTATTGATCTTAGTTACTTAGGTTAATTGTATATTTATGTATGTAATTTATATGCATCATTGTCTTACTCTGTTAAGTCAACTCAAGAGTAATATTAATTAATTATATAAAATATCCAGCAAATGTCCTGAATCACGTGATATGAGACGCTCTCCTCCCCGCGTGGGCACGCTTCCGCAGTAGCGAAAAACCGTGGCATAGGGTAGACGTGTCCATTCGTTCTCTAGCCTTGACCCTTGTCTAGTGCTTTATCCAGTCTTCTGCAATGCCCTAGGGGTATCAGGTATTAGTGACACGTTTAGTTAGGCCTAGGAAGGGATCCTGGTGGTAAGGTATCTCCTGTTTGGTAGGGATAATCATTTTGTAGTGATTGTTGTATATATATATTTCGTATGTCTTGTGTAATATAGTAATGTTAAGTAATATTTGTTTGGTCTAACTCCTTACAGCATATTTTCGCCCTTCCGGCATCACTCTTATTTTATTATACACTTACTTATTCCCTTAAATTCATGTTTGCTAGTCATTACTCCCTTTAGAACATAAATTGAATTAATTAATTATCTTCTCTTTTGTGATTCACTTATTTCAACTGTTCTTACTTTTTCAAGTACATTTAGTTGAGTAGGTTTTTGGTGAGGATAATTATTGCCGTGTTCCCTATTTGTTCCTTTATTTGTTAATAACTTGGGGTAGGATTCACTCCCCAAGTATAAAGGGTAGTGGGATCACGACAAGTGGGGGCCTGTCCGGGAACTAACCACCATTGTTGTGTCATATCAAGTGTTGTTACTCGCCAGGTGTTGTTTCATCGCTAAGTATTTTTGGATGCAAGTTGCTGTGTTCACAGTGTTCATTTATATTGCTCCTGTTATTGCTTAAGCTACTGGTGAGTTAACCCTTATCTTGTGTACCAGGTGTTTGGTTAATCCCTTGCTGTGTTTCACAGTTTATTGCATTTTGATATTATTAATTAGCTAGCTAGTTAGCTTAGCTGCCACGGTTACTTTTTTTTTCGCTACTCGATTTTGAGTTCAACATGTTTGACCTGGAAAGCTTTTTGGCTTCACCTTCAGCCGAAGTACTGAAGGGGCTTACTAAGGCAGAGTGGCAATCCCTCGCTGCTTATTATGAAGTAGAAGGCCGCTCTTCCATGAATAAGGCTAGGTTAGAAGAGGCTGTCCTCA